TCCTCGCCGACTCCGCCTCCACCTGAGGGAACCCCTGGACCGTGCGGGAGCTGGTCTCCCGCAGGTACAGAAGAAAGGGAACATGCACTGAACGGGAGAATAAAGCAAGCAGGTGAGTGGAAAAGTGGAAAGGAAGTAAGAATGGGGCAGAACTGTGGGATAAGGGCAGGTGTTATGTTCTAGGCGGAAAATGCCAGAATTGGCAATTCCTGGGGGTTAAGGGACGACTGAGAGGAAGGCTAGCAGAGCCACGCCATATATTCCTTTGGGAGAGTGGGATGAAATATGGGACAAATGCAAAGATGCGATCATTTAATTTTCATTACCTTTGGGAAAACTGAAGTCCCTTTGTTCAAAACAAAAACATATTGTGAAAAAAATGCTTTACCGATACGACATAAGTATATAATATACGTATTTAGAATCACAGAAATCCAGGAGATGTTTATCTGGGTGAAAGAGGTGAAGACTTTTCTTTTACAGGTTTTTAAAAAATTAATTGTAGGGGGTAGTTCTCTGGGGAAAACGTTTTTACTCCCAAGTTTTTCTGAGAAATTGTGCCTCTGCTCCAAATCAACCTTCAGCAGTTGACTAAATCCACAAGAGTGTCCAAATTGGAATGTGTTTTTAGTTTTGTTATGTTGAATCGCAGTATCTCTGGCTGATACAATACAAGTTGGCCTGGAAAATTCACTTGAATATGATAAACATGGGGAAGCAAACAAGCTTTGGCTGCAAGAGGTGGCCACGAATTCTAGGTAACTCAGGGTTTTACACACACTCACATGTGTGTCTGGTCCCTGGGGTTTTGAGCTCTGATTTATTGCTGCTGTGTCCTTGTCTCTTCTCTATGTCTCTGTTTCTCTTTCATAAAATTAGATCAATTAAATTTTTCTCTACAGAAATATTGCCCCCCCCCTTTTTCAACAGGAAGCATGTAAGACACAGCTTATACTCTAAGCAACTCCACAGAAAGATCACAAATGAACTTCTGCTTATTGTCTTCCTTACCTCATAGCTATCCTCAGCGATTCCTTTCTCAAATTTAACTGGCCTAGTTCCCTGAGGCTTTGTTTTGTCATGTGGAGACCTGAAAAAGGGGCAGAATATCCAGTTGTTCAGAGCTCTGGTAGTCTGCATGTTCTCAATCTCCCTCAACAACGTTTGGGAGCCTTAGAAGAGCCCAATGTAGGTGGTTATAACTGAAATATGCATGAATAGTAAAGAGTAGGATTTGTTATCCAGCCTGCCCGCTGGGGGAAAACGAAACCTGTTTGTAGAGTTAAACTATGGGATGTCTCTGCAACATGATGGTATCTGATGAGTTGGTTTCTTCTAAAATAGGGGTTTTAGACCGCTCAAGGAAGTGCTCTAGGAGACTGCTTAAGGAAATTGCTTTGGGCAGCTGGACCTGCATTATATCCTTAAAGACCACCTACTGTTTTCGATGCCTATCTGCCTACTCTTCTCCACATGGAAATGGCTCTGCCTTCAACGATTAACCAAGGATTCTATAAGAGGGACTACCACTAGTGGAAATTCACAACTACATTTCTAATTCTTAACGATTGAGCTTGGATTACTGGCCCCCTCATGCTCCTAACCACATCTAAGTTTCTCTTCCTAGAAGGGTAGTAAAAATAATAACCAATAGCAAATAGTCTCATGCTCCACTCTTTCACTTACTTTCCCATCCCCCACCCAGGATCTGTTCCCTTTGGGGAAAAGAGGGCAGGTACGACGGCATTAATAACTCAGTTGGGCAGATAAGACTACACACTTGTCAGGTCTCCTTTGGCTCATTGCTGTTCACTGCTAAGTGGGCCAACCCGAGGCCAGGATTCACCCACAGGCCAAACTCAGTGCCTCGAAATGGTCCACGTTCTGCGGGGTTCAATTCAATCCAAACGTCCTTCCGTTAGCACACACACTGCGTGCCCAGCCCCATTCTTGATCCTGTGTGGGAAACAAGAGAAGGCAGACAGGTGCTGTTGTGAATGCAGAAAATGCACAAGACGTGATGGTCCTTCCCCTCAAGAACTTAAGGTTAGTGGAGAAATGGGGGCGGGGAAGAGGAAGTGTGATTGCTAAATCTGAAACAACAATGACAAGTACATGCTAATATATTAGATAAGTCACTTCATCTCTTGGGGGCCTTAATTTCTTCATCTGTAAAAATGGGGAGAGTTAATCAAATGATTTAAAGGTGACATTCTAATTCCATCATAGTGGTGAGATTTACTTACATAAAGACCTGAAATAAAATAAATTCATGAGTCAGTAATAGGAGAGGATTGAAGGAGCAGACATCCGTCAATTTACCTCCCCTCTCAATACAACCATGTCCGTCCATAGATTAGGACTGAGAAGCTGATATAAGTGTGTGTGTGTGTGTGTACTGGTAGGGAGGGACAGGGAGTTGCTATATTTTGATAATTAGAAATGCAAGGGCCGGCAGAGTGGTTCAGTTGGTTAAGAGTTGCCTGTTTGATTCCCGGCCCGAGCCGAGCTGAGCTGCAGCTGAGCTACCAACAGGTGGCAGGATGGCTCAGCTAAAAAAAAAAAATGCAAGAAAAGAATTGATGATGTAGAACCCACCATTTAGAGAAAAGAAAGGTTAGTGACATTTAGGGGAGATGTTTTTCCAAGGATGTGGAGCTTGAGCTGGGCCTTGTAGGATGGTTTATGAAGTAGCCTAACTGGAAGGTTACTTGCTTTTGCTGTTCTTGTTGTTTTAAGTAGCAAGACTTCATAATAGATAGGTATGGTGGGATCAAATCATGGGGCCTTAACAATCAATTAAGTAGAACTTTGATAAGGCCTATCTGCTCAAGTTCCTATAAAGTCCACGGATTTGGAGGAAAGAACTGTGTTAGTGTTGAGAGTGTCAATAGGTGATTATTTAGGGTTATGTCTAGTTTGATTGTCAGACATAAACCCTAAAGATGGTTGTCTAGGGATTATGGCTAGACTGGTCTAGCCTCTGAAAATCCCTTTAGAGGGAAATAGACTAATGGGCCTTTCACCTTTTTCTCATGTTTAGTTTTTCCAGTTCATGTGTTTATGGACACTAAAATAAACAGGAGCCATCAAATGGGGAGGTACAAGTTGTGCTGCTTGTCTACAACCCAGGTAGAAAAAAAAATCACACAAACTACATAAAAAATAAGAATGGAAAGAGCTGGTATACAATACCTTAAAGGACATCAGGAAATCTTATTTCAGGGAAAAAGGGGAAATTCCTTGGCATGGAAACTTTCCATTTTGAAAATATCTTCATTATTCTTTTCTTGATTCTGGAGGAGACACAGGGAGTTTGTGATGAACAGGCAATCTAGAATCCTGAGGTGTTCTGTGTTAGAATCAGAGAATGAAAATCATGACTTAAACCAAAGCTCCTCCATTTTTTTCCCCCTAACCCATGACTACCCTACATGCACACACTGACCTTTTCACCATATTTTAATCAACCTCTACTTTAGCCAATTTTTTTCACCTTACTCTTCAAACACAGTGAGCATTTTTCTCTTACTCCCCATACTTAAAATACTCTCCCAACCTCTTCAAACCATTTGAATCGTCTTTCTTTATGTTACTACTCAGGTCTTTCCTCTTCTGAGAAGACTTCCTAGATCAATCCAGTTCTAAACCCTGGCCTACAGGCATTGTTTTTTTTGTGTGCATAAAATTATATAGCATCTTGTAGTTCTACTTGTACTTTTCTTATGTGTAGGTATTGTTTGCCTCCTAGGCAGTGAGCTTCTTGAAAGTAGAAATGTGAATTTTCCACATACAGTAATACCTTGGTTTGCGAGCACAATTCGTTCCAGAAACAAACTACTCGTACTGCAAGACATCGCTCATTTACCACGTTAAAATGTATTAGAAATGTTTGCTCGTCTTGTGGAACACTCGCAAACCAAGTTACTTGCAAGCCAAGGTTTTAATGTATTTGTTTTTCCCCACAGTGCTCTGTATATTAGGCATCAAAATGAAATATTTGATTATTTCAATATATTTACTGAACATTTATGATGCGTTAGGCACCATCCTTGACACTGGGAACCACACATAAATCAGATGTAGTCGCTGACCCCATGGAGCTCAGTTTAGCCAGGAAGAGAGACAAGGAAAGGGTTGAATGCAACAGATTACAATGCCTACATTAGAGATAAGTTCAGAATGCTGTCAGAGCACAGAAGAAGAGCACTTAGTCCAGAGAAGACGAGACTAGGGGAGATCTGGAACTAACACCTAAACTGAGCCTGGAAAGATGACTGTGAGTTAACCAGGTGAAGAGAAGAGAAAGTGGGCATTCGAGAAACAGAGAGCAACCCAAGCAAAAACATGAGACGAGAACAAAGCACGGCTCATGTAGGGGAATTGCAAATCACTGCAGTACGTCTGGAACATAAGATTTAACAGAAAGGTCGCAAGACATGAGACTAGAGAGGTAGCCAGGTTCTAAGTCCTAGAGTGAGGTCCCTGGTAGAAGCTTGTAGGATTACTCTATGAGCAACGAAGAGCGATCGAGGAATTTTAAGTAAGGAGATAGATACATCGAGCAATATATCGTTTAGAAATATGAAAATGGTGGCAGTGTGAACGATAGATGGGAAAGATGCAGAGGCCTTTGAGACAACTATGGCAGTGCTGAGGATGGGCTGAGAAATTACAAGGGTCTGTCGTGCTCACAGATCTGTGCCCCTCACCCCTGCCTTCTAGCCCTGGATGACTTACTCCGAGAAGTCCCACCAGATTCGCTCTACTAGGAATTTGAATGTTGGCTAAAGACACACAGCGATGAAAGATGGCTGTGGCCAAGTTACCATCTGCAGTGTCCCAGACAGAAAGACCGAGCTTCACCTGCTGAGGTCCCCGGAGCTTCCCCAGGTATAGTGCTCCCTGAAGGATGGTTATTCAGTTTTCCCTTCAATTCTCTGAGCTTTCCCAATATCTTTTCAAATAGCACCCCCCCCCCTTTTTGCTCAAATTAGTCAGAGTTCATTTCTGTTGTTTGCAACCAAAACACCAAAACTGACATAGGCTTTAAAGCAAGGTGGTGACAGCAAAGAGAGATTTAAAAAAACAAAACAAAACAAAAACACAAAAAATGATATCTGAAAGATGCTCAGAAGTCAGAATTAGTAGGACTTGGTAACCAATTGTCTCTATGGGCTAATGGATATAACCATTTTTTTTCAGCTTGGTTACCTGAAAGAATGGAGGTGCGATTTACCAAATTAGAGAATAAAAGGGATGGAGCATGTATGGGGGATAAAGGATGATTTGGTTTTGGTCAGTTGAGTATGAGGTACAGATGGGGACATTGTCTAGTAAATGGTTTAAAATATGGACCTGGAGCTCAAGAGGGGGAGGTCTGGGATACAGTCACACATTTGGGAGTCAGCCTCAAGAACATGTGCCAGCTGAAGCTGTTGGAATAGATTAAATCAAGCAGGAGAAATGGTGGGCTGAAAAGAGGCCAGGGCACAGGACAGAGCCCCAGAAGCTGCAGACACCAAAGGAAGAGCATCATGAGTGGATGGTGTGAAGAACGCTGAAAAGGAAGGGCCAGAGATGGGAGGAGAACCAGGAGAAAGTAGCCACAGAAACCATAGGAAGGGACAAAACCATGATCAAGGGACCACCTATACCTTAAAGCACTTGAAGTGTAACTTTTAAGGTATAGAAAAACGTTTTTCAAAACTCATAAAAATGACCGAAAGCTTAATAAACAATCCAGTGCTACCAATTATAAGGCAGACACATCTAGACTGAAAAAAAAAATTGTTAGGCTTGAGTTCATGACAGAGCCAGGATTTGCTTGAACAGAGCTGACCTGATAGAAGATAACGTGAATGCATTACACATTCTCCCATTTATTGTCTTTTTTGAGATACAGGGGCTCCATCAACCCAAACTCAGGTTGATCATCCTTCCCTCCTACCCCTTGGGTGCTGATCTATGATAGGACTTACGAATGGCTCTCCCTCATCCCTTCACCTCCTCAACTTCGCACATCCAGATAGAGACCTCACAGCCCAGGTAACAGCTGGGTAGTAAGGACGGGATGCTAACACTGACATAGAGCACTCTGGGAAATGTAACCTGAGGAGCAAAGAGCAGTAAGTGAGGGC